GCAAGGAATTAGACACGGGACTAGCGTACAATGTATTATACGCGGGACTAGCGTACACGGTATTAGACACGGGCCTAGCGTACAAGGTATTAGACACAGGAGGACTAGCGTACAAGGCATTAGACACGGGACTAGCGTACAATGTATTAGACACGGGACTAGCGTACACTATACTAGAAACGGGTCTAGCGTACAAGGTATTAGTAGCGTACAAGGTATTAGACACGGGGCTAGCGTACAAGGTATTAGACACAGGACTAGTGTACAAGGTATTAGACACGGGACTAGCGGACAAGGGATTTGACACGGGACTAGCGTACACTATACTATACACGGGACTAGCGTACAAGGTATTTGACACGGGACTAGCGTACACTATACTAGACACGGGTCTAGCGTACAAGGTATTAGACACGGGACTAGCGTACAAGGTTTTAGACACAGGAAGACTAACGTACAAGGTATTAGACACAGGAGGACTAGCGTACAAGGTATTAGACACGGGAAGACTAACGTACAAGGTATTAGACACAGGAGGACGAGCGTACAAGGTATTAGACACGGAACTAGCGTACAAGGTGTGAGACACGGGACTAGCGTGCAAGGCATTAGACACGGGGCTAGCGTACAAGGTATTTGACACGTGACTAGCGTACAAGGTATTAGACAGGAAGACTAGCGTACAAGGTATTAGACACGGAACTAGCGTACAAGGTGTGAGACACGGGACTAGCGTGCAAGGCATTAGACACGGGGCTAGCGTACAAGGGATTAGACACGGGACTAGCGTACAAGATATTTGACACGGGACTAGCGTGCAAGGTGTTAGACATGGGACTAGCGTGCAAGGTATTAGAAACGGGACTAGCGTGCAAGGTATTAGAAACGGGACTAGCGTACAAGGGATTTGACACGGGACTAGCGTACACTATACTAGACACGGGACTAGCGTACAAGGAATTAGACACGGGACTAGCGTTCAAGGTATTAGACACGGGACTAACGAGCAAGGTATTAGACACGGGACTAGCTTACAAGGTATTTGACATGTGACTAGCGTACCACGGGACTAGCGTACAAGGTATTTGACACGTGACTAGCGTACAAGGTATTAGACAGGAAGACTAGCGTACAAGGTATTAGACAGGAAGACTAGCGTACAAGGTATTAGACAAGGAACTAGCGTACACGGTATTAGACACGGGACTAGCGTTCAAGGTATTAGACACGGGACTAACGTGCAAGGTATTAGACACGGGACTAGCGTACAAGGTATTTGACATGTGACTAGCGTACACGATATTAGACATGGGACTAGCGTTCAAGGTATTAGACACAGGAGGACTAGCGTACAAGGTATTAGACACGGGACTAGCGTGCAAGGTACTAGACACGGGACTAGCATACAAGGTATTTGACACGGGACTAGCGTGCAAGGTACTAGACACGGGACTAGCATACAAGGTATTGGCCAGGGGACTAGCGTACAATGTATTATACACGGGTATTAGACACGGAACTAGCGTACAAGGAATTAGACACGGGACTAGCGTCCAAGGTATTAGACAGGGACTAGCGTACAAGGTATTAGACAGGGGACTAGCGTACAAGGTATTAGCCACGGGACTAGCGTACAAGGTATTTGACACGGGACTAGCGTACACGATACTAGACACGGGTCTAGCGTACAAGGTATTAGACACGGGACTAGCGTACAAGGTATTAGACACGGGACTAGCGTACACGGTATCAGACACGGGACTAGCGTACAATGTATTATACACGGGACTAGCGTACACGGTGTTAGACACGGGACTAGCGTGCACGGTATTAGACACGGGACTAGCGTACACGGTATCAGACACGGGACTAGCGTATATGGTATTAGAAAAGAGACTAACAGTTCTGTATAATAAGCAGTCGAACAACTCCATCATTAAAAGCCACGAGTTATGCCTACACAACATACGTCAATGGCCATCGCTGTCCTGGCTAATGTTCAACACCACTGGTAACTCTTACTGGAAGCAGCGCACTTTCACAATACACTGTATATAGAGAAACATATTTACAATATAATATATAGTAATTGTAGTGTTCGTAGTCGGCAGTACACAGTACTGTTTCATAATAAATGCACATTTGTATCAAGGAGGACAAATATTGTTATTAATTATTCTGTATTCTGATAAAAGTACAAAGTTTCTTCAGTGTTTTTATATAAGTAGTATGAATTAATTCATATTACATTTGTGGTCATCCAAAAATAGTTATCTATATATAAAATTATATACCCAGACAGTGACGGACACCCAAGCAAGGAATGGAACTCGTCACCAATTTGCTGACTGTTACAGTGTGGACATTTTCTTTCATTATAATCTATATCATGCCATCTGCTGGTTTCAACAATAAATTTGTGATTGGTAGAAAATATAACTCTATCTTTATCACTTAAAATATCTAAGTAATTTTCAAAATGACTATTATTTTTTAAAAATCCTATAACATGTAGCTTTTGATGAAGTGTGTACATCACTCTGCCATTTCTGTAAATATTGGTCGTGCAATCTTTGTTTAATAACATCCCTTAGTCATGTGATATTACATTCTGTAGTATATTGAACATTCCATAAGTAACCACATTCATTTAAAATACGTTTAATAAAGCTTATATATGGAACCGATTTAACATCAACATTATGATGATGGCAAAGACGTTTATACAATATAATATTAATTGTATTTTCGTTAGAATGAGTCAATTGTGACCAATATGTTATTATTCTTATTTTTACTATTATTTCAAGTGGGCTAGTACCTAGTTCTCCATATACCATATAATTAGGAGTGCTACTTTTTAGCCCTAGTAATAATTTACAAAACTTTAAATGTACACGTTCAATTACCTTAAGGTCAGTAAGACCCCAAACTTCACAACCATACAACAGTATGGGTTTTACAATCTTGTAAAATAAATCATATATACAATGAACTGATAAGTTATGTAGTCTACCGTTCTTTATAAAGTCATACATTGCTAAAGTAGCCTTTTGAACATTGTTTTTGTTTTGTTTTGTTTCATTAAATGAACCAGTACGACTAAATGCCGTACCCAAATAGTTAAAATTGTCCGCTAACTCTATCACTTCATTATTAAATAAAAGTACATTTCCATTGTTTTTACGTCCTTTACTAAATACTATACATTTTTTTCTATACTAACCTTTAATTTCCACTGTTTACAGTATTCACTGAATACATTTAATTGTAGTTGCAAGTCAACTGGACAGTCTGAGAAAAGTAGTGTATCATCAGCATAGAGTAAAATAAAAAGCTTTATGTAAACATGTAAATCTTTTTCTTTAGTACTAAGGTTTGTCAAACACGGAACGTTATTTTGGACCATAAACTCTTCGAGATCGTTCAGGTACAGACTAAATAAAAAAGGAAATAGGTTTTCTCCTTGTCTCAAACCATTTTCACATGGAAAATAATCAGAACATTAACCATTAAAAGATATATTTGACTTAATGACGATTTATCCTTGAGACAGAGACTGTTACTGCTGAACATCTGCAAACTTCGGAAAACGTGTACATCCCAATGTGCATTACGGACAGGTATAGCTCCGCGTGCAACCACAAATATTATCTTAGTTTGAAGACAATGAAGGAAACTATGAAAATAAGTTCAAGGCATTCCGACCAGAAGAAAACAATGGTGCCAATATGATCCAGTGTACACAGGGAAACACTTGTTTATGAATTTTCGAAGCATCTTAACTAAATAAAAAAAAGTCCTTGACTTGAAAAGCATCCCTCCACGACAATTCCTGCAATACAATCTACACCAGCACGGAAGTGCCATAGCATGTTATTCTGCTGCTAGAAATATTCTTCATTAAGCGAAAGTGAAGGTAAGACCAATGAGAGATGCACCCATACTACACTTAAGAGTGGTTAGGTGTCTAGTTAACAACAACACACACACTCTTTTTCAATATTGGTTTACATTTTAATTACCCGGTCTGACATGAAAAAGTGATTTTCTGCGTTATAATCCGACATTAAGACTATCAACAAAAACAGTTGATGAGTTTTGTTTTAGAATTGCTATAAATTAAACTTTATACATTAAAGCACGGAATTAGATGTTATCTAAGTCCGTGATTAAAGCGACAAATGGGATGATATGCGACCTCAGGAAAAGTGGATCGCTAGAATTCAAAAATCTAGAATCTAACCAAACAGCAATGGCGCAATGCAGTCATGTGTTTTTCATGTTATTGACAAGAAAACAACTGAAATATGGAAATGGTGTGAGTAAGTGGATGGCGAACAATTTAACAGATCTATTGAGATTTCTAACTTGCGCTCATGTATGCCACATACATTGGGCTGCTTTCAGTTAATATATGAATGATAAATTCACAGGAAGTGCGCTTCATGTTAATCTAACACTTTCTGTATATATCAATATAATAGAATGGAAATTTCTTTGAATTCAGCACTTATTAATTCATATTAAACGTATCGTCTTGTATGCATACATTCTATTATGTATAGATAGTAGTGATGGGGTGGTCATAACCAGTGGGTCTAATTGTCTTCCTACATAATTATATGGTAATAAAGGAACCTGTTTATAAGTGATACTTTATATACCTTTTACTCCATTGGTATATTGTATATTCCTGCAAGCATCTGATAATTAAATGTATCTATTTTATATATTTTTTTATGATTTATGGTATAAAACAATAAATTCAATCAAACATTTATCAAAGATAGTTTTACACTACCACACACTTTTGGTTAATCGGACATTTAGGCAAAATGAATAAAAAATACACTGGAAAAATAAAGAGTTTTAACGATTCACAACAGAGACACATAAAGCTAACAAGTCTTCGTGACGTCAGCTACAGATCCAAATGATAGCTCTACTATGATTGGTCGAAGTGTCAGGGGTGTGTGCACTCTCCGTAAATTCGATTGGCTAACGGCAAATGTGAAGTTCGATCACAAAAGGTGTGTTATTGTTTACGTTTGTTTCAGGGTCAGTTAAACAAGAACTCAGATCGATGATGGTGAGTATGGATAAAAGAAAAAATCCTTAGGTTATTGGCGTACATATTTGGATTATTCATATATGCATTCGTAAACTTTGTCGTGGAAAAGCCATTCAGTAATGTAGCAAATTCCGTTTATGTTGCTGTTGCAGGGTCACCCCTACTGTTATGCTATTCTGTATCCGGTTCTGTTTACGACGAATTTAGTGTATGCTCTTTACATAGGTGATGCATGTGTTTCTAGTTTGTTTATTCATTTGGTAAAATGACTGATACCATAATGCGTTAACCGTTCAAGGTGAATCTGAAGGTGAATATATAACGATGAAGGCGCATGTCACCAGTAACGTTAGTCTGTTACTGTAGTGTTGGCCCAATATAAACAGACTATTGGACTATTGTACAGTTGTATACATATACACTCATTCGGAAGTTGGTTGCAGTTAAAATCGTTGATATCTTGGGGAACAGTAAATCCACCCATGCTTATAAAGGATAAAATAATAAAAATATCCATTGAAAATGTCCAAAGGAGAGCGACTAAGCTGCATGGTCCCTGGTATCAAAGACCTATCCTATCCTGAAAGACTTAAGGCTTTTGGGCTACCCACTATGGAGCACAGGAGACTTAGGTCATTCATGGTGCAAGCTTTCAAGTTGATAAATAGGATAGATAACATCAAAGATGTGACTTTATAAATATCAATGTAACAAGAACAACCAGAGGTCACAACCAGAAACTAGAAAAACTAAGGTATGGAAGTAATCTGCGTCGCCACTCGTTCAAGTTAAGAATTGCAAATAACTAGAATGGTCTCTCTGATCAAGTGGTATATGCCCCATTCCTGTTTTCTTTTAAGACCATGAAGGTTAAATAAACACTGGGAAAATCATCCCAATAAGTTTGAACCAAGCTTCTACTAATTAGCTGGGGAAATACATATTAGGCTTCCCTAATTCCAATTTAAATTTAGCATTTTTTAACCCATAAAACCTTTTAATATCTATACTTTCAAGTATAGTTCATTGACAGGTCTGAAACTAATCAGTCACAATATGTGTATACTTAATAAATAGTAAAATAACCTCTTTTTCGGAGACTTGTGATTTATACAGGCCTGTTAGACCTTTTTAATAACTGAATACCTGTATTTCAAATGAAATTAGGATGCAACTTTTTTACAACCTACTTCACATGTACATGAATTTCACTAGTATTGAGACATAATGTCTGCTCTAATGCCTCCAAATGCAACCGGAAGTGGAGTGGACTGTATTAAGAAGCACCTTAAGAAGCGACTAGACACTTACAATGATGTCAATGCAATGTACCAAAAGCAGTATATACTATATACCCTAGCTAGCTAGGTTACTATTGATTTTCCAGGTCAAATGAATGTCTGAAGGAGTTACCGTTCCTAACTCAGGGACTGCTGATTTCATTAACAAATTAGTGATCTAATTCAAACTGAATAGATAATGTATCACTGCACACAATTGGTCATATACTTAAATGTGCATGTATTGGAATCTTATCACTCTGATCTTAGTGATTGATTTTTGAATAACTTTAGTAGGAAATATAACCTCATCTGGTATGACATCACAGTATCTATGTTAATTCTGTAGGAGGAACAAAATATAAAACTACATAATCATGATGATCGTTTATATGATATATTTGTCAATACATCATTTTATTATTTATGATCACATACTTAGACAGCAATCTAATTCTGTGTTATGATCTAACATTTTAATGCTCCTATATACGATGTGTTTACTAGGCTTCATCATCTTTGGATGGGGAGCCTGCAACCCAGGTTGACAAAGAGGAGCCCAAGTTTATGAGGCAGATGAGCATGTCGAATCTGAAGGATGAATTTTGTGACCCAGATAATCCAAAAAAGATACAGTTTGAAGACATCAGTGCTGCTGCCTACAAAATAAGAGATGGCGTCATGAAGACTCCTTGCACAGTAGGTAGTTGATGTAATTTTGTTGAACACTGAAAGACAATAATGTTTTGATTGTATTGAATATAATTAGATAATGGAAACTTTGGTATTGAGCTAAAAAGTAACATACCCAGTATGCAATTAATAAATATATTTTCCTAATTTTCAGCGGTCTCGGTTATCTGGACTTTTGGGTGTTGACCTATTCTTTAAAAAAGAATTTCTACAGTTTACTGGCAGGTAAAATATTAATCCTGAATCATCAAGAATCTAAATAAGGTCCTAAAGTAACTGTATTGATAAAGTTTTGTCTCACCCTGAACAGGTGTATCCACACTTTTCTCGGTTTGAGATATCCTTGTCTCACCCTAGGGTTGAGGGTTTCCCCTATTAATGACCCTGCATTTAGCCTTTACCGTTAACAGTACATTATGTATATGATAAACAATGAGTGAACAGGGTAAGAGAAAAAGAATCACTCACCCCCCACCCCCTTGGGGGTAGAGATAGTGAAATCTCAACCATTAAGGAAAGATTCATAAGTCGCCAAACACTCGGCAAAGCCTTGTGTTTGGCAATTTAAGAATCTTCCCCCCTTTGGTTGAGATTCCCCTATGTCGCCCCCAAGGGAGTGAAAGAATATTTTTTTATCACTTATCTGTAAATGAGAAAAAAAATCTCATTGTCATTTATTTTAGATTCTCTTCTTCCCCCATGGAAAAAATGATGTGTACAGGAAAAACAGAAAATAGATGTTTAATAATTCATAGTATGTGTGTGATTTCTACAACTTCTTTTCTTGACAGTTTCAAGGAAAGAGGTGCAAGATATACATTGATGATGCTGAATAAGGTAGGGAGACTTGTTACATCCCAGACCCTGTGGTAACAGACATTGAAATGTATGTTTCAATAGGTTAACCATTGTCAAAATGTAGTATTTTGATGGCTTGATTATTATTTGAAAAGATGGAAGTCAAGGCCTGTGTATGATATTATAGGAGGCACAGTAGTTTAGTGGTAGGATGCCGGGCTCGTGACCAAAGGGTTGCGGGTTCGAGTCACGGCATGGCACTGTGTTGTATCATTGAGCAAGATACTTTACTCCGCTTGCTCCAGTCTACCCAGCTGTATATGGTTACGTGGTTGGGCAGCGCTAGAATTGTTGAATATTAGCTGTGAGTGCCGAAATGGCAGCTCCGGCTGTATGCTCCCCAGGGAGTTGAAAAGAAAGATATTGGCTGGTTGCAAAGGTCCTATAACCACAAATGATAATTTGTGAACCGCTTTGAGACGACCTACAAACTAGTTTGTGATAAAGCAGTATATAAGAACCTCGAACTATTATCATTATTTTATCATTATTTTTTTTTTTTTTAAATTTTCACCGACTAATGTTTATCATGTACAGAAAGTATTCAATAAATGTGATGAAGTCAAATACTAGTAAACAATTTCAACTCCAGTACAGACATATCATTCAAATTAACAAGTTATTTAACATTATAAATGTGAAATCAATTAATTTCTTCCTTATCCATCCAGGAGCAGAAAGAAGGTGGAGTAGTGGCAGCTAGTGCTGGCAACCATGCCCTAGCACTCTGTTACCATGGCAAGGAACTCAACATCAGTATTACCGTGGTGATGCCCAAAATAGCCCCGTTGATGAAGGTGCAGGCTTGTCGGTCCTATGGTGCCAATGTCATTGTTACAGGGAAGGATATCTCAGAGGTAAAATGGTACTTCCTATTAAATCAGATCTGTTTTAGAAAAGTAACATTATTTCTGTTATCATTTTCCCCCCACACCTAATAGGTTTATTACCATTTTTATAGTAGAGAAAATATGACTTTGTCATCCCCTTGTTAGGGCAAGACAGTTCATATTTGTTCCATGTCAACATTAAATGGAATCAATATCATTTCAATGGTTTGGTCTGATATTACAAAGATCCCCATTGGATTTGTAAAATAGGGATGTTGACCAAGTCAAGATTATGACCAATTTGTGATGTGGGCAAAGGGAGACAATCCCAATGATTAAATGTTTTCCAATTAAATTTTCCTGAGTAATAAATAAGCACAAAGGGAGTATGAATTCATTTTGCATATACTTTTTCTTACAAGAATGCATTAGAATGATTTGAAATATTTGAAACTTTCAACTCAATTTATAAAAAAAACCTAGAAATTCCTTAAAACTCATTTGAAAGTATATAGATCTAGTGGTATATTGTTGAAACCGTGCAGTTCATTTATCGGAATAATAATGGTTTCCATTTGTCTTATGGTATGAATCAAAGTTCATGAATAAATCTTGATTGAGTTCTTCTGAAATACAGGATTATACATGTATTTGAACCAAGTATTTGAACCAACAAAAAGTTAAGCTTATAGTTCATATCACACGTTTTATATTTATGATAAAAAGATGAGTAATCTTTTAAGTTATTAAGTATATTTTTTGCGCTTTTAGTCAAGAGAACATGCTATGAAGTTGGGAAAGCAGCATGGACTGATATACATAAATGGGTTTGTACAAACACATTGTTTATGTTACATTTTAATGTTTGTCCTGATAAAAAGGAAAATAATATTATGTTTGCAAGTTTGTCATCAGATCTTGCATTCCATTTTCAAGATTGGAAAATATTCCTGTAAAAAGTGAAAGAATTGAAAATTAATGACTTTACATTAAATGTCTAGAAATGTCTAAGTTCAAATAATTTGTAATAAATATTTTTTTTCATCTTCTGAAAAATAAGTTTTCTTATGTTGTCAAGTATCAGTTAAGTGTATGAAATAAAGAATGTTGATTACACATGTTATATGAATATACTGAATGAGATGATGGGTGTAAATCACACACGTTACTGGGTATATAAGTACATTGAGATGAACATTGTGGATTATTTGTGATACATTTTCATCAGATATGACCACCCACACATACTGGCAGGGCAGGGGACGGTAGGACTGGAAATTCTGGAGCAAGTTCCTGACCTTGATGCCTGCATCATCCCTGTGGGAGGTGCTGGACTCATTGCCGGTGCTGCGTTGGCCATTAAAAGTCTCAAGCCAGCAGTCCAGATTATTGTAAGTGTCTCAAGCCGATGGGTGATTGACAGATTATCATGTCACAAGCCATCATCATAGGTGTCTCAACCATTGGTCCAGATCCGTATACATTTTATAGACAGGTCAAGGTGATTGTAGAACAGGCTATACAGAAATTACCTTGTAGTCATCTTCTAGTCAGAGATACGTACATGTATATCTTAATGTACAAACATTAAACTAATAGTACATTTTAAACATGAAATATAATGATACCAGAGGAGTGAATACTGTAGAGGAGTTGATTATAAGCCATATGCATTTTTAATATATATTTGGCGGCCAAACATTACACAGAAATTAGTCCATCAAACTAGTCCAGATTATCATATGTGTCTCAATCTCTGGTCCAGATGATCATCCGTGTCTCAATCTCCGGTCAGGTTATCATACGTGTCTCAATCTCCGGTCCTGATTATCATACGTGTCTTAAGCTCCGGTCAGGTTATCATACGTGTCTCAATCTCCGGTCAGGTTATCATACGTGTCTCAATCTCCGGTCAGGTTATCATACGTGTCTCAATCTCCAGTCCTGATTATCCTACGTGTCTCAATCTCCGGTCCAGGTTATCATACATGTCTCAATCTCTGGTCCAGTTTATCATACGTGTCTCAATCTCCAGTCAGGTTATCATACGTGTCTTAAGCTTCGGTCAGGTTATCATACGTGTCTCAATCTCCGGTCAGGTTATCATATGTGTCTCAAGCTCTGGTCAGGTTATCATATGTGTCTCAATCTCCGGTCAGGTTATCATACGCGTCTCAATCTCTGATCCAGATTATCATACGTGTTTCAATCTTCAGTCAGTTTATCATACGTGTCTCAATCTCTGGTCCAGATTATCATACATGTCTCAATCTCCGGTCCAGATTATTATAAGTGTCTCAATCTCCGGTCAGGTTATCATACGTGTCTCAATCTCCGGTCAGGTTATCATACGTGTCTCAAGCTCCGGTCAGGTTATCATACGTGTCTCAATCTCCGGTCAGGTTATCATACGTGTCTCAAGCTCCGGTCAGGTTATCATACGTGTCTCAATCTCCGGTCAGGTTATCATACGTGTCTCAAGCTCCGGTCAGGTTATCATACGTGTCTCAATCTCCGGTCAGGTTATCATACGTGTCTTAAGCTCCGGTCAGGTTATCATACGTGTCTCAATCTCCGGTCAGGTTATCATATGTGTCTTAAGCTCCGGTCAGGTTATCATACGTGTCTCAATCTCCGGTCAGGTTATCATATGTGTCTCAAGCTCCGGTCAGGTTATCATACGTGTCTCAATCTCCGGTCAGGTTATCATACGTGTCTCAATCTCTGATCCAGATTATCATACGTGTTTCAATCTTCGGTCAGGTTATCATACGTGTCTCAATCTCTGGTCCAGATTATCATACATGTCTCAATCTCCAGTCCAGATTATTATAAGTGTCTCAATCTCCGGTCAGGTTATCATACGTGTCTCAATCTCCGGTCCAGATTATCATACGTGTCTCAATCTCTGGTCCAGATTATCATACGTGTCTCAATCTCCGGTCAGGTTATCATACGTGTCTCAATCTCTGGTCCAGTTTATCATACGTGTCTCAATCTCCGGTCAGGTTATCTTACGTGTCTCAATCTCCGGTCCAGATTATCATACATGTCTCAATCTCCGGTCAGGTTAATCTTAATTAAAGCACAAGTCCAGGTTATGGTATTTTATCAAGCTTCAAGTACAAAATGTGATGCGTCATATGAATATGACATTCATTGTAAGGTAAGTGTATGTTATCTTCCTCAGAAAACCATTGTCAGCCTCAGTTTAGCCTCAAGCAACGACGGTTTCCTTGTGGCGGCAATGTGCCATTACTTTCACATGATTGTCATACATTCCTGTAAGACATCAACATGAAGGCTGTTGTAGTTTGCAAATCGTTTGAGAGTCTTACCAGTGTAGCACCTGATACAGATGCAAATGCCTTTTAAAGATTATGAACTTGTCATTGACCTAACCTACTTGTCATTGACCTAACTTAATTGTCCTTGACCTAACCTACTTGTCATTGACCTAACTTAATTGTCCTTGACCTAACTTACTTGTCATTGACCTAACTTACTTGTCCTTGACATAACCTACTTGTCAATGACCTAACTTAATTGTCCTTGACCTAACCTACTAGTCATTGACCTAACTTACTTGTCCTTGACCTAACCTACTTGTCATTGACCTAACTTAATTGTCCTTGACCTAACCTACTTGTCATTGACCTAACTTAATTGTCCTTGACCTAACCTACTTGTCATTGACGTAACCTACTTGTCATTGACCTAACCTACTAGTTATGGACCTAACCTACTAGTCATTGACCTAACCTACTTGTCATTGACCTAACTTACTTGTTCTTGAGCTTACTTACTTGTCCTTGAACTTGCCTACTTGTCATTGACCTAACTTATTTGTCCTTGACCTAACTTACTTGTCCTTGAACTTACCTACTTGTCATTGACCTAACCTTCTTGTCATTGACCTAACCTACTAGTTATTGACCTAACCTACTTGTCCTTGACCTAACCTACTAGTTATTGACCTAACCTACTTGTCCTTGACGTAACCAACTAGTCATTGACCTAACATTATTGTCCTTGACCTAGTTTACCTGTCCTTGACTTAATTATAGAAAGCTTGTCACTTACTACTGTGTGTTCTTTACAGGGAGTGGAGTCCGAGACCTGTCCTAGTTTTTCTGCAGCTATGAAGGCAGGCAAGCCAGTGTACACCAATGCAACCTCAACGTTGGCAGACGGTAAGAGACAGTTACAAAGATTTTGATTATGTTGGATTTTTTTATCTGAATCTAGTCTCCAATTTGATTAGTTAGGGCCCTGCATCAGAGATGCTGAATGGTGCCTTATTTCAATCACAGTGTCCATCATATCTCCGCCAGTCTGTCCACACTTTCATTTCCAGCAATTACCCTTCTGTATCTCAGAATTCAAAAGTCCAAACTTGCTGAAATTTCTGAACTGTTTCATGTAGGCTGGCAGCAGGGGTTTAACAAGTTTAAAAGAATAAGGTCAAGGTCACTATTACTAAAAATAGAATAGGGGTATATACTACGAAAAATACAATGTATTGCCGTTTAGGATGTATTATGCGTATTCTGGAATCCAAGATGGCTGCTGTGCTTTCTGCTTGGCAGGTATGGGGGATAGATGCAGCAGTGTTTGACTTTCTGTGAATTAGTGAGGGTGATATTCTAAGGTATCTAGATGGTGTAGCACTTTGTCGTGATTGTCACCTGTTCATGCCTTTTGGCTGATTTATTGAGGTTGTGCATGATTTCCATCAGTTGTGCGCTTGCGATTTACTTTTATTTCAATGATTTTCTTAGTAGCTCTGTCCTTTTTTTGATATCCTTACACAGCTTGTCAAAAGTACATTCTACTTTCCTTCTCAACTGATATTTATGAAACTTGGTACACATTAATAGTAATCTACATAGTTCATACCCAATACTCCAGGGGTTACGCTCACTTTCACTCTGTGCACTCCTGGAATATGTCATAGAAAAATTGAAGGCATGCAGCTAGCTATTTGATCGGTCTCAGGTAAAAAAAACCTGACCAACCGTTAGGCGGATACCTGTCCTTTGAGGATTACAGAGGAGTGACGCTCGACTTCAAAGCCAGTCAGTTTTACTGTTACATGACTGACAGGGTCTTTTGATGTACATCAAAGGATCAAACTCGTCTTCTCGTCTCACCTACAAAGTGATGTACACTGCGCCTTGAGTTTGCAGTGACCTATGCCAGGGTTGTAGAGAGCGAAATTGAGCATTACCCCTGAAGTATCATGGATGGTCATAGTTCATAGTTGTGTGCTTGTGATTTGTTTTGGATTATCATTATTTCAATAGCAGTCATGACCCTTTCTGATTCCCATTTAAAAACTTTGTCGAAATTCAATCCTGCACTATCCCCATAATGAAAAGCGATTTAAAAGTTTTCCTTCAGAGGGTTGAGAATATTAGTTAGCCTGAGAATAACAGTTCATTTTAACTTAATTTGATATAAAATATCATTGTTTAATCATTACAATATTAATAAATGTATACCTAGTATTTTGCAAACACTATCTAATAACAGATAAGTGAAACAGGGCACTTGCCTATGTTATACAAAGCCCAAAATAAAACAAGTTCTGTAATTGTGTACATTTTAATTATGAAATTATTACAAATAAGAACATGAAGAAGCAAATGAAAGAGTCTGACTCTAATAGCTTATTAAAGATACCTGTAGAAACATAATACCTTGATGGTTCTGACTGGACAGGTACTCGGAGAGCAGAAAAAACTATCTCAACGCTGGCCGATGGTAAGGCTTGGATTTAACCCTTTGTATGGGACACTGACTTGCATTTTGTTCACAGACTCAGTGTTAATATTGATTGAGTGACAATATTGTATTGCATAGCTCTCTGTGATAACTTCTGAAATATTTGTGGGTAACCTCACATTAGCTCACAAATTGTCCTGTATTGTCCCACGGCCACAAATTGTCCTGTATTGACCCACGGCCACAAATTGTCCTGTATTGACCCACGGCCACAAATTGTCCTGTATTGACCCACGGCCACAAATTGTCCTGTATTGACCGATGGAAGATGCATGGCTGGCTATTTTCTGTAAGGGTCCCTGGGAGACAACATGCTTTACACTGTAAGGTCCCAAGGGAGACAACTTAACAGCTCAACACAACTTGCTATTTGTTGAAAGATCTTTGTGACAACTTGCTTTTCCTTGTAATGTCCCAAAGACACGACTAACTGTTTCTTGTAAGGTTTTAGAGACAACTTGCCATTCCTTTTAAAGACTTACTTTTCCTAAGGTCCCTTACAGATAACTTGCTGTGTTCTACAAGGCCCTTGGGGGCAACTTGCTATTTCCTCTGAGGCCCTTAAGGGAAAACATTTCTTACTCTTGTAAGGTCTTAGAGGCAAATTGCTATTCCTTTTAAGGTCTCTTAAAGACAACATGCTGTTGGTATTACCAATGGTTGTCAGGTCCTTAGAAACAACTTGCTGCATCCTGCAAATTCTTTGAGGGCAACTTGCTATTCCATGTAAGATTCTTTATGGACTTTGTACGGTCCTTTTGACAAAACCAGGTATTCCCTAAAAGCTTATTTTTTTGACATCAGGCTAATCCAAAAAAGGTTCATTGACACGGTATGCTCATGCCATACCGTGGCGTCCGTCGTCCGTCCATCCGTCGTCCGTCCGTCAACAATTTCTTTAAACGACTTCTTCTTCTTAACCACTGATTGGAATTTAACTAAATTTGACTGGAAGCATCCTTAGGTGGTGGGGAATCAAAATTGTACAAATGGTGGGGCTGACCCCCCAGGGGGCTGAAGGGTGGGGCAAAAAGGGGGCAATTTGGCTATATTGCTTTAAGCGACTTCTTCTCTAGAACTAAGAGATGGATATCAACCATATTTGACTGGAAGCATCCCTAGGTGGTGGTGATTCAAAATTGTACAAATGGTGGAGCTGACCCCCCAGGGGGCTGAGGGGC